GAATGTAAAGCATATCTCCAGATATACTTAAATAAAAATTCAAATAAGACATAACTCCAACTTGAGATTTTCCTTAAATCTAGTTTTAAATTATGAACTAACACAGATGCTAAAATCTTTACTAAATGCCTTATGAAAACTGCAGCAATGGAAACGGAAGCAACGGAGCCCTTTCTATTCCTGTTTTTCTTTGAAAAGAGAACATTTACTCAGCACCGTCATATGCAGAGGCTCCTGGGAGGCTGGGCAGTTCGCAGGCGAGGAGAAATAAGCAGACAAAGCCCCACTGTGACCCGCCCCGCTAGCACTCTGCTGACCAGGCATCGGAGCTCAGGCCCGTCTCACTTTAGAGTCGATGCATTTCCACTTCCACACACAGGTAGCTTCATTGCAGCAGGATCATTAAACTCATAATTAGACATCCTTCCTCGCACCCCTTGCCCCTCACCAGAATCAGAGAATGCCAGACTGAACCTGGGAAGGCCTCCTCTCCCTGCACACAGAAGGACCTAGAGGCCTGGAGACAGGAAGTAACTTCCCAAAGTCATTCAAGCCTGTAAACTGCAGGGCCAGGATAGAATCACGTTTCAAGTCTCAGGGCAGTGCCCTTTCTCTGCACACTGCCTTTGCTCTGTGTGTAATAGTTCCAGGACTCTTCCACCTGCCTTAGTCCTTTCTTAATGACATGTCAGAACATCCAAGGGCTGACAGCACTTGGGAAGTTCTTGTAACGGCAGGACACAAGCACCAAGGTCACAGAGTCATTCCGACACTCCTTGCTGTGGCCCTGAAGTGTATCACCGAGTACATGCCCTTCCCACGGATGGCTTAACAGCACGTACTGACTGTATTACCAACAAGCCTAAAGAAAACTGAAGTCGCATTTCAGGAGACTGCAATAATGATCTCCTTAGATATCACACAACTAAGGATGCAAGAATCAGAATGTCAAACAGATGGACGGTACAAAGAACTGGGCTCAATATGCCAGCATATCTATCCAGGTCCCATGAGTGCAAGATGAAGACCTCTGCCACCAATAAGAATGTGTATTTCCAATATTTCCAGTTTTTATTTTTATGTTCACAACATGCCTAATAGGTAGTAGGAGCAGGTTCACAACTAGTTTTGACTGCTTCCATAGTTTTCATCATGCCAATTGTAATGTCTGGAAAAGTTGAATAACACATGTATCTACTGAGCACTGACCATCTGCCAGGAACTACCAGAAAAATATAAGACATATTTCTTGCCCTTTCAGCGCTTACAACCTGATTAAAGAATCATGACCACATACACAAGCAGAGTGGCTAACCTAGGCCTATTTCAGTCTTTTTTAAGCTCTAAAATATGCTCACAAGGTCCTGGAGGAACAGGGGGACACGTAGAGACCAGCTGACAGCAGGAGACCTACAGGACTATTTATAGCATGAAGGAGAGAACAAACATGAATTCATCGTACATGGAAACATGAGGTCCATGTAAAGGAACAAATCTCTACAATGCTGCTTGTAGCCTGACAAGCAGACTAACTTTTCTTCCCCAAAAGACTGGAGTTTAATGCCCATGTCCTATAAACAGAGTCTCAAAACTAGGTTTCCCAGAATCATTTCAGAATCCAGCCAATATACCAACTTCAGGCTTTCTCATCCACTGTTGTGACACATAGATGCATTTCTACAACTTGCTGTTCATTATAACTAATGTTTCTCATCTTTTGCCAAAGTCATAATCGCAGATGTGATTAATCTTACCACTGTTTACATTTTCTTATGAAGAAACAAATTTCAACCAGCCTTAACAGTAAATGAGGAAAGATTCCTGTAAGACTGAAATAAAAAAAAATCTTCAGAATTCTAGCACTCCTTATCTAAAAATAGTTCGAAGAATCTGAAATTATATAGTATGTTATCCATCCCTTTATCGACAATGGAAAACTCTAGTAAAGTGACCAAAATGAACTTCTACTAAAATACCAGATTTTATCTCCAACCTCCAGAATAGTTGATGTAAAGTATTATAGATGACTAAGTATGAATTATTGAATTCTGTAAGTATGTCTTAATACCTTTCGTTAAACACTGCTGGCTGCTTTTCCTGAAGCTTTAATGTAAAACAGAATGAAATATCTGTTATATATTTTTAAAAGTACACAACAATTTAAGAAAAAGAATAAAATCAAGTTTCTACTTCCCCCTAAAATATAGAATCTAAATTAGGGTTAAAATAGAAATATCAGCTCCATTCACAGGAGGAAATTTGATTTTAATAAACAAGCATTAAGTACAACCTATGAACCTACAATTTTTCTTTTCCTTATTTGAGGACAGAAAAATACTTTTTATAAATGTGGCATGAGGTTCTTACACCATAAAAACTCTTGGAATATCGACTTTTGTTTTTTGTGTACCTAAATGTTTCATACAAACCTTTCTTTACCACTGAAAACTAATACTTTAGGGAGAGTAGTATTTAGATATCATTAAAGAGTCCCAGGACTGGTGACACTAATACACTATCCTGGCTTTGACTGTGGCCCAGGTAGTATTTTCTATGATTTTTTTTGCCTTCTACCAACATGTGTGACCTGAATGGATTTACTGGTATTCAAGTTGAAGCATATAGGTATTATGAAATACAAAAACAACATTGTGGCCCTGGCTGGTGTGGCTCAGTTGGTTGAGTGTTGTCCCATGCACTGAAAGATCACTGGTTCAATTCCTGGGCAACATGCCCATGTTGCAGCCAGGATCTCAAGTAGGGGGCGGGCAGGAGGCAGCTAACCCATATTTCTCTCTCATTGATGTTTCTAACTCTCTGTTACTCTCCCTTTCTCTCTCTTTAAAAATAAAAGAAAAAAGTGGAGCCTTTCCCTTGATAGAATGAAAGGCTTGAAAGATAATTGAAAAGAAAATAGCTTCGCCTTCCCTTTAAAAAAAAACCCGAAACAAATAGAAAAACATTGTGAAATATACCATTTTCACTTTTTTATCAGCAGTGGTAAAAAGACTAGCTTCTCTGAACGAGATGCCACAGTCAATATCACTAGTTAAACTTAAATATGGGTTTTGCAGAAACATATTCCATTATACTGAAGCTAATGCATTTAGATTAAAAAACAAAACAAAACCTGAACTCCCAAAAATAAAACAAATCTTCCTGTGGTTAGGTTAAACTAAAAAGGTAAGAACTACTTAGTTTGGAGGCTATAGAGTTTAATTTGATGAGTCAGGAAAGAAAACCCAGGTAAAAACATAGCTTGCTCTGAAGGTTCACCTATACTGAACAAATCTATACTAATAAAAGGGTAATATGCTAATTAGACCAGGTCGATCTGGAAGATGTCCGACTTCCTTCAGGACAAAGCCATGGTGGCGGGGGCTGAGGCAGAGGCGATTAGGGGTGACAGGATGGTACAGGGGAGCAAGCATTTAGGGGCGCAATCAGGCCAGCAGGGGAGGGCAGTTGGGGGCGATCAGGCCAGCAGGGAACCAGTTAGGCAGCAATCAAGCAGGCAGGCAGGCAGGCAAGTGGTTAGGAGTCAGCAGTCCCAGATTGTGAGAGGGATGTCCCAGATTGGAGAGGGTGCAGGCCAGGCTGAGGGATACCCCTCCCATGCACGAATTTCGTGCACTGGGCCTCTATTAATATTAATAACTGCCACATTCTCTTTGATGCCATAATGCTCTACTGCCTAAGTTGAACTATATGATCCATCACATAATGTCATGCACAGAACTGTGGAGTTGTATTTAGGTTTAATATAGTCCACAGAGTTCATTTCAGAGCTATGACAATCAACACCAAACATAAAGGTGAAATGATGTCCTCTCCATGGCAGTGGTGTGTTTCAGACACAGGCTTACACCGAAGAAGGGGAATGTGTAGAGATGTCACACACCCTGCCACTTATAGCTCAGGAATGAGGAAGGTACTGGAGAAACCCTATAAATGCTACCATCCAGATCCATGCCTTCAGATGTCCTCATTAGAAATCTTTTTGGTACAAAAGTGTTCTAACCTCTTGAATGTGATCCCAGATGAACTTATACATGCTGATTTTTATAACAGTGAGTTTTTATTCAAATTCAAATTCTATTTTGATTGTTTAAAAAATGCAAATGTTTAGTTTTGATTTTTTGAATAAGTGATACACTAATAAGATTAAGGATTTATGTAATTTATGTGTTGTTGTTTTTTCAGGCATCTGTACTGCCACAGTGATGGTGGTTTCATAAGATAGGAGGGTAGCATGCACTCAGATACAGGAGAAATGCTTGTTCGCTTAAATACAAAACGTGGTCAGAGGTGCTGCAAGTGATCACACTGCCCTTATTGTAATTTTAAATGGTGAAGATATAAATGTTAACAATTGTAAAGTCTCCAACATCCTTTTTAGGAAATCTAGCTGTGATCTTAAACCTTTATATTTTTAGTAGCCATAAATTAATTTGTCAATTTGGCTATACACTGTTAAATAAGCTTTCTTTTGCTTTTGTGCTCTTTTCAAACTCAGTGACCTCAATTTTATCCACTGTCCTCTCTTCTCATGGCATGAAACAGGATAAATACAAATGTCAAAAGGGAAGTCCACCCAGCAAACAGTAACAGTCCCATACCCCCACGCTGTAATTTCCTAACAAAAACCAACCAAGCTATTTTGACATTGAGGTTATATTCCCTTTCTATTTTTTTTAATACTTCCTCTTCGCTTTGGATTTTTATTAGCTTTTCAAAACATTCACCAATTTAAATAAAGCCATATGGTTCTTAGAAGGTCACTAAAACTTTGTAATTTCAGGAAGTTATCTTTTCCAGATTAGTAATATTTGAGGTTGTAAATGGGTGAGAATCAACTATAGTCTCAGGTGATTTTACTCAAGAGAATAAAGCTTAGACACAAGAAAAATCCTGCCAACCTCAGGATGCTGATGCTCTGGAAATGACTGCCACTGTTATAAAGAGCAGAGGTGGTGGTGATATCAGAAACTTCTGCTTACCCCTTGTTCAGATTCCAAAAGCTCTGTTTTGACTCTGACTGCCGGCATCCCATCAAGCATTAACATTCTGTTTTCAGAGGTGTTGATATTCTGAGAATCAAAAAGAGAGAGAGGGAAATTCAGCTTTAACGCATTCAAAAGAGGACATCTGTTAGAGCCCGCCTTCATTGTAGTACATTTAGTACCCTTAACCTAATTTTTTAACAATGAAGCATAATTAAATGAGGATATCAGCACAACCAATTATCTGCTCATTCTGAACTTTCCTTTGAAATAATGACCAAGAAGTTGAATTAATCAGTCTGATTCTCTGACCTCAGGGTTAGAGGTCAGACTATAATAAACCGGCATAAGGAAACCTTACATTAATTTATAGGGAGCTGGAGCAATTCATCACACTTTTGCAAAAGTGAAAGGAAATAAAAGGCAAGATTCTTTCTTCATTACTTCTGGAGGTTGTACTGCATACAAAAATCCATAGAAGAGAAAATAGATAAAAATAGTTTATATAGTCTCAAATTATTGTCTCAGATTATTAAAAACAAAATAATATAGTTCTAGACACATTGAATTTTGGTATTATAGCAATTCTTATCAAATGAAAATTTTAACATATCAACAACCCCAAACATCTTTAAAAACAACTAACATAATAAGTCTTGGATAAGAGTGAATGTTTAATCTGAAGTCATAACTAAAGAATAATCTGGTTTTTGTTACACTATATGTTGGGCTCAATTAGCCACCTCTTGAAAGGAAAACCTTATTTCTATTGTGCTCAATAGAATTTCAAACTCTATTTATAAAAAGATTAAATCAAGGTTATTTTCTAGTCATTTTCCCTGCTTTGGGAATTTTCTGAAGTCAATAACCTATGAAGGTAGTCAGAAAGCCTCATATCAGTACTTGCTTAAGGCCAAAATCAAGCTCATGTTTTAAAACATGTTTAGAATGCCAACTTTACCCTTCTATACTGACTAAACTAAAAAATTGAAATGCCTAAATTTGAGTTTTTAGAATGATTCCTTTGCTCAATTATAGAATGTAATCATATGACACTAAAATGGTGTTATTAAAAGAAAAAGTTTATATTTATAAACTGTTTATAAATATTTTTTCCTACCTGGTAATAAAGGTTAATACCATTTCTAAACCTTAGATTTTTAGTCTTTCATATCGTAGTTGCTTTTATATCATGTAGTTAAATAAGAACACCGTCCACTTCAATAAATCAAAAAATTAAATGTTTTTATCACCAAATAATACCAATAGAGTCCAGTATAGTGAACTCTAATTATTTCTCCTATTTCTTGACTCCTCTTTTTGTTTAAGAAAAATATTCTAAGAAATAAAATGTATGGGATCTCTTATCCCAAATATTTGCTATGAAAAATCAACAAGAAGGAAAAGCAAATTTATCCCAGAGTTAACTAAAGAACATTTTAAAAAATTCCACAGTACCTAGTCTATTAAGTAATAAAAAGAAAATAAATGACTGCTATGTTCTTTTCTTAGAAATGTACAGTATTATTAACATAGGCAGGATATTGTTTTTTAATCTTTGCTTTTAACTGGTCCGTATTTTTAGGGATTTTACATCCTAATAGATAGCTTAGAGCAGAAGGACCTTTGGTAATACTGGCAAGCTCAGTTAATTTGTTCCTAGCTTAAAATCCATGAATGGAGGCTGGTGAGTTGTTTAAATATCAGGCATGGATCTCACATTCTAGTGTGTCACTTGCTTCTGTGGTTGGAAGCAGACAGCCTGGCTTGCCACCATCCAGTCTCAGGAAAGCCTTCCAGCAAAGACCAGCCCTCAACTCCCCCTGCCTTGCTCAGCAGCCAGGAATCTACAGTAGCAAAGCATCCCCTAGCCCATGGTCGGCAAACTGCGGCTCTAGAGCCACATGCGGCTCTTTGGCCCCTTGAGTGTGGCTTTTCCTAAGCCTTAGGAGTACCCTAATTAAGTTAATAACAATGTACCTACCTATATAGTTTAAGTTTTAAAAATTTGGCTCTCAAAAGAAATTTCAATCGTTGTATTGTTGATATTTGGCTCTGTTGACTAATGAGTTTGCCGACCACTGCTAGGCTGTTTGGTGGGTAGACAATGAAGGATGAGTTGACATTGCTTCCTACCCTGGAGGAGATCCTGTCCAGAGGAAAAGGGAAGAAGATGCTTTGCAAAGGAGGGGGAAAGACAAAGAGCATCCTAGAAAGGCAGGTTTAATGAACTGTTAGAATCTGATTAGAAGCTAATGTCCCTTTTAGTGCTTTGCACCAATTTACAGCTGGTACACTTTAACCATTTTCCTCACTAGCTGGGATAAACTCATTAGTCTAAAAAATGCAAGCTAACCAGAGTCTTTGAGGTTAGAACTGTTAAATTATGAAAACCTGACTAGGTTCATGTTCCACTGAGCACATTTCAATATCACTATTTTCATGATAGTTTTCTTTTTATTGTTGTTCTTGAATAATTCTACATGTGCAAAGACAGGATATACATTTTAGTTTCATGTAAAAGTGAAAAAATAAAATACATTTTCAAAAAATGTTTAAGAAATTAAGTTTCCCCTGGAAATATTTCTCTTTCCATGATTTTTCAGATCATGCACAGCCACACCCATAAATAAACACCATACATAACAATGCTCACCAGTAAGGAACCAATCCTTAACTATTAAACTCTTTCAACTAGAGAAGATTCAATCTGTATATATGCCTGAGTGTTACATTCCAAATGTATATGAAGCATATTAATCTCTACATTCATGACTCTAACCCTGTTTAGCATAAACATAAGCACTGAGCATCACAACATCTAGACCATCCAAAAAGGTATATAGTTTTTATGTAGTGCATGGTAATTATGCAGCATAGAGGATATAGTCCTTGGAAAAAATATCAATATATTTTTCTCTCTAAGCTAAAATCAGATACATACAATCTCAGTTAATTGTAGACTTTAAATATGTAATAAAATCTAATAATTTGAAATTTTTGTCAAACATATCCTGCCATGATATTAACCAAAGCACATTTGCTGTGGAATCAATAGCTCAATTGATGCCCAAGAGGTAAATAAAATTACATAGTCATCAATTGTAGTAACATGGTCCTCTTTGTATATTAATGTTGCAGCAAATATTTTGATATTATACAAGCCTATACAATTTATATATGTATGCATATATTCATACACACATGTATATACACATGTGTATACACCTAAGCTATTTTGTATGAATAAATTTTATCAATTTAAAGCAAAAAGTATCATCAGATTTATGAGTTGGCTGTTGACCAATACATGTGAACTGAATGAGAATAGTGCCCTGGATATTCCTATTGGTAAATTAGATTTGCCAATACAATTGTCCAGCTGATATCGCTCTCCTAGTCAAAAGCTGTATAAATACAAAGGTCACTAATCTTACTAAATCAAAATATTATGAATGGAATATGCAAGAAGGAAAGAGATTGATGCTCAATGATCATATCTCATAAAAACACTGAATAGGAGTGACTTTCCAGGTTAACCACTACAACCTACCCTCCTACTCCCATAATCAGGTCTTTTCCTATCCCTCCTTCTGATTACGGGCCATCTAGTTTGTACAACTGGAGTAAGAAAAGAGTCAGTCAATCAATATTTAATAGACCTAATTTCAAACAAAGCTTTCCTTTATAAGCCAAAAATATCTATCTACTGGTGTTTTGACTTCTTGAGGTACGGGGCATGTTTACTTAAATATTTATCCATCTTAAATTTTCATGTTTGGCTACAGGTGATGAGAAACATGGATGGGCTCCATCCATACCCACATTATGTTAAACAGTGACATAAGGGACATATGAGTAGCAATTCATGATTCATTGCACCAAGTTGATTAAGGCATTTTCATAGAAGATTCTTAAAGGATTATAAAGCAAGTGTGCCAACTGGTTAAAAGTGTCATCCTTGAGTATAGAAAAAGCTAACGTATCAGAATACAAGGAAATTGGGGTTTTGCTTAAAAAAACAACCCTCCTTAGAGAAGTCAACCTCTCCCCTTTCTAGAGTCACCTCTACCATAACAATAGATTAGAATTACACTCAGCCAGTGGTTTCAGTTATCTATTGCTGTGCAACAAATCACATAGTAGCATAACACAACAATCATTTTATTATTCTTGGTAGTAAATATAACACCTTCTATTTGCATATTTACTATTGACCAGGCTCTGTGCTTATAGCAACCCAAGAGGTCAGTGCTATATTCTCTGAAGATGAGTCAGCTGAGACACAGGAGATTAAACTGTCCAAGGTCACAAGATAAGTAAATGGTATAGCTCTGTTACAAACCAAATGAGTCTGAGCCCAAGTGAGCTCCTAACCACCTGTCTCCTCTCTTTCCTCCTCTCTCTCTCTCTCTCTCTCTCTCTCTCTCTTCCTCCAAGGGTCATTGAACTAAATGTGCAACTTCTAGTCACTGGTGAGAATTAAGAATCAGCATTAGGGGAACAATAATGAAGGGTCAAATAAGCCCCTAAATTCACAGCTATTTCACTCTTTAAATCAAGCTTTCAACATACTTCAACATACTTCCTTGGCTTGATAAAATTATACATCCCTATCTTTAAATATCTCATAATTAATTTAGAAGGTCAGTCCCATCCTGATTCAAGATCCAGAAAAATCTATGGTAATCACATTTGCTGCCCAGTGTTTTGAAGCTATTCATATCCTCGGTGGCTCATTCAATATTTTTACAGTAGTTTCATGTACTTGGATGAAATAGGAACTTTATACTCAGGAGAGATACAATTGGATAACACATTTAATTTATTATCACTTAGATTAGTGTAAAAGCATATTTTCCTTGCTTACATATCCTCACACTGGCAAGTCAACTTGGAAGAGGGCAAACACCTCAAATGTTACAAAACAAACATTTAAAATACAGACTTTGCCATTCTAGACCAGCCTTTTATCTTTCATTGCTTTGCAGCATGGGTGAGTGGATATCACACTGATAACCATATTTTACTGGCAGAACTAAGAGCCAACTATAGATCCATTGGGACTCTCAACTTAAATCCCCTTC